ACTTGTTGCAGCCACTTGAGTTTGCTTTCAGCGCCGTCCACCTGAACCTTCCCCACCTCGATGTTCAACCCCACCCGCCTCTGAACTCTCCTGGCCCACAAGGGTCAGCCAGAGAGCTCCTCGGTTTCCTTTACTCCCTTGCCGGTTTCCAAGCCCCCTTCGCCCCTCCTCGAAGGATCGGGGTTATCCGCCCCATTAATATATTAGCCAGGCATAACACAAAGGAAGCGCGTGTCGGCAGAAGGCAGTGTGTGACTCCAGCGAGAAGCAAAGAAACCTGGACGGGGCCCCGCGCTGCAGCACGGATCATTGCAGTCTGAGCTCGCGAAATCGGCCTCCACCTAGGAGAAAGGGGGGTGGGGGGTGGGGGGAGCGGCAGGAGTTTGAGCAGCTGTTGACTTAGGCGTTCGTGGCTGGGTTGCCAGAGTGAAGTCCACGCTCCTAGGTGGCGCCCAGAGAGCTAGGGGGCACGTTTCAAAACCAGCCTCTTCGCTTAAGTCCCACAAAGCAAATCAGCACGAGGTTGATGCCTAGTTCCTCACTCGTATTCAGTGCGCTCTTCCAATTAAACATATGAAGGAAAAATAACCAAGAGCCCTCTTTTAATGTGTGCTATTAAGTGGCTAGTGTTTTAAAAGATCAACTTATTGGATGTGTGTGTGTTAGAGAGAGACAGCGAGAGACGACAGAGATAGGCAGAGACAGAGAGCCAGAAAGAGACAGTGACACACAGAGATAAACTAATCTGGGGATAACTGAAATTTCATGGGAAAGCGTGGAATGAAATGAAGGAGGTTTCCCTTAGAATATATTGTTCCCTATTTCCAAGCAATAATTTGAGGGGTATTTCCAGATTGTTGTTTTACTATTTGTTTTGGGACTTTTTTTTTAAAGATGTGTACTTCGAAAAGGAATTGAGGAGTACAAAGTCAGCTCAAGACAATCTCACATTTAGGACTGCCAGGCCGGACAGGGGCACCGGTGGGGTTCTGAACTTGAGCTCCATGTGATTTGACCAGCATGCCACTGGTATTCTAAGGATTTCAAGCACTTATTCCAGTTCAGTCCGTCCTAGATTTTGAGGAGAATATTGTGTCTTTGTACTCCAAGGTAACAGGAACATAGAGAACTCCAGAATATAGTCAAATGACATGGACGTAGTTCCTCAATTTCTGAGACCAAAGAGGGATCTCTCCTAACAGGCATGAGATTTTTCTCTGACACTGTAGTCACAGCTCACATACTTAGAGAAATCAGGAAGTTAGAAAAAGAAAGGTAGAAAGTATTTCCTCTTTGTCAGATCTTTTTTTTTAATGTGGATAATAGGGTAGAGAAATGCATTCATATTACAAGTTAACACAGAACCGCATGGGTATTTTCCAGTCTCATATTGATCGCTAGAACGATGGCCAGAGAGGGAAAAAGTGAGGGCTGCACTCTGAGATGTCCAAAGTTCAACTGGCCGGCAGCAATAAAGAGAAACGCCAGCAAAACCACCATGGCCTCAAGCTTCTCTATTTGGAAGAATCAGAACATTCAAATTAATCTGCTATAAAATGTTACTAAGGTATACACCAAATACGGTCATCAGTGGAAAACAAAATTTGAATGATTACTTTCCAAAAAATTGTATCTCCCCAAATGTATCCTGTTTCTAAATAGTAAGATTATAAAATTTTCCAAGTTGCTTTGACATATTCTTACTCTCCTGAGTTTCTTTACTCTTGATGCTAATGATTCTTTCAGTATGGGGAAAGCTTATTTCAAAATTTCAGCATAATTTATTACCTATTTAACCTATGGTAGTTTACAAATAATCACCTTGTATATCCTAATGTAACTGGGATTATTTTAGCTCCACATAATTCAAAAAAATACAATTCACTACAGTACAAATATGAAATTGTCTCTTATTTTGAAAGTAAATTTTTACAAATTTTTAAAATAGCAATTAAATGGATTAATCAATTTTATCCCTTCAATGAGATTTTTCTTCCTGACATATTGAGGTATCACATTAAAATACATTATAGCTAAATGTTCTACAATATTACTACTAAATCAACAGAAAACCAATTGATCTCGAGGAAAGGTTAATTAATTTGGGCTACAGGTCTCCTACTTTGTTCTGCATTGAAAGGAATTTGTATTGATCCCATAAGTTTTTTGCAAAGAAAATTAATAAGCATTTTCGGGGAACTGAATCCAGTTAAAGAGCCATAACAATGAGGCTTTAGTTTTTGATTACCCCAGGATTTCTTTATTTTATGATATATCCGAATTTGTTAGACTCCTGAGAAAAATAACGTTTTGTACACTTCCAGTGAAATCAGTCGGGTATATAGCCTTCAGAAAACGAAAACAGAAGTTAAAAACTTTAATACGATTTGTTTGTTTAATCCTTCCTACACAATCTTACTACTTTATTCTGTTTTGAGAGAATCACGAAGAGAACATGGAAATTAAATTTCATCTTGGAATTAAATGCTGCATTAAGTTCCCATCATGTGGTGAACAGACCCCGTTTCCCAAGTCGACTTTTATTTTCGGAACACTTCTAAATCGTGCAGTTTTTTCGTTTCTGCTGAACAGAACTGGTGAGCTTTTCCTCTTCGCTATGTTTGTTTACCCCACCCCACCCCCACCCCACCCCATCTCTATCTCTGTCTCTCACAAGCACATCATTTTAATTTTTTTTTTTTAATTTCAGACCTGAAACAAGGTGCAAGAAATGTGAACTGTGTGGAGTTCTCCACCTCAACTCTATCCTCTTCCTCCAAACATTTTCTTGTATTCTCAGTGTTTGATGGGCTTGCAGTCGGCAGCCCGCAGGCCCTGGAAGCTCTGCCCCGGGGTCCTGCAGGAAGGTTTCCCAGCGCCTCCCCCCACCCCTTTCCCCGTAGCCCCCTCCCCCCAGCGGGGCAGATTCCCGAAGTTGCACGCCCAGCAGAGCGCTGCGGAGTTGGCTGCTTCCCCCTTGCCAGTCCGCGAGGAATCTAGGGCGGCATCGAGGGGGCGGGCGGGGTGGGGGTCGCGGGAAGGCGGCGCGCTCGAGGACCGCCCCAGCGCTCCCTCCGAAGCACAGATGTTTTCCTCCTGGCCCCGGCGCGGCGCCCCAGCACCGGGCGTTCCGGCGTTTGTGTGTCGGGGTTTCCGAGGAAGGGATTACGCAGCGGGGGCCTCCGAGGCAACGCGGGCGTTGGGGCCGCACAGCTGTAACGAAGCGCCCGGCCTTCTTTGTTGACTTTTTAGGGCTCGGGCTCAACAGAAGATTTATGCGTTAGGAGGGGAAAATGCCCCAACAATGGAGAACCAACTGCACTTGTCACCTCGAGACAGCTCGCGGGGCTGTTCGGCGGCCACCGGCTGCCCGGGCCGCCCAGCGCGCGTCCCAGCACGCGGGCCACTGACCGCACCGCCCCGAGCGGGCCGGGCGCGCAGCCGGCGACTCAGGGGGGTCGCTCACCGCCCTCTCGGGGCACAGCTGCTCTCCGCGATCTTCCCAGCAGGTTAACCGAGCCGCCTCGGCTTTGCCAGCGGAGCCCCGGCCCTCGCAAACCCGGAAAAAGTCTCCGAGAAGAGTGCGCCAGCGAAGGCCGACTCCGACTTCAGTCTCCTGGGGGAAGGCAAGGCAGCGACATTGCTAATATAATTGAAGACGGGGACAGGGACACCACCCAGGGGACCGCCAGAAAGTTGAACGATTTAGATGCCGTGGGCCTGGTGAAATTCCGAGCCCCGGTTGCACCTCTTTACCTATCATTTGGAGTTCGCATTTGCCTGAAATTTGCTTGCCCGCTATAGAAATACATACAGTAGCTACAGAAAAATACATTAACAATTATCGGGATTGAAAAGCTTTCCCTGTTCGGCATTTTTAACGCCGTTCGGTCTTAAGACCGAGGACTTAGGTTTTGAGATGACTCAGACCAGCCGTTTCCCTCTCCTTTCTTTACTTAGATTGAGGAGAGGGGGTGGGATTTCTTTTTTTTTTTTCCCCTGAAATGCCACGAGACACCCCTTCCCTCATCTACCAAGGCAATTACGCGATAATTAAGGGACCCAGAGGGCTTCCCCCCCCAACACACACACCCGTCTTGTCTGGGGTGTGGAGTGGGGAGATCAGAATTAAAGCTGTCCAAGTTCAAGCGCTGGCGAGGATGGAGTTCATACACAAGGGCTCAGGCAGGCCGGCCTCGCCTTGGGCTGCTGTTGTTATTGTTGATGTCAATCGCAATGAGACTTACAAAGAAATAGGTGGACTGGAAAGTGAGCCTACTATCAAAGGAGATTAATGATTTTGTGATCTCAGGCAACGGTAGGGGTGTGGAGTTGCCTTTAAAAGCTTCTTAGAAGGCAAACAAAATCATCGGCTTTAATGGCTCTGCAACAGTATTTTAAGAAATAATATTTAAAATAAATCTTTTAAAAATTGCAAAATAACAACTACCATGAAATGTGCTGGTGGCAGAAAGCTTCTCTTGCAGGAGTGAATTGACCAGCTTCCTCTCCCTCTCTCTGCGGCTCCGGCTACTACCGTGTCTAAGTTTTGTTTCTCTTTTAATGAAAAGAAGTTCAGGATTCTTTGTTGTAGCTACAACTTAATTTTATCAGCCACATCAGACATTTGATCCTCACTCAGACACATGTCAGAGAAACAAAAACTATATATTGGGAAAGGGTTGTTAAATTATTACTATTAGATTTCGTTGTGGAATGGCTCAAAGGAAACAGCAGAGATTTAAGCCTATGTTAAAAGTTAAAGTAAACATTATTAGGAATAAATAATTTAAAAAATCTCATCTTGTCATCATAAATTAAAAAATTAACCACTTTTATTAAATGTCATTAAATGCTTCTGCTTGCCCCATTTTCATGTAATAAACACATTTAAAAAAACAACTGTTTTAGTTCTTTTCCTTTTGTCCTTTAAGTTCAGTGCTTGTATTGCAAAAATATATTGAGTATTTTAGATTTAATTAAGGAAAATACCAAAATCATTTTTGTTAACATTTGATTTATTTAAAGTCCTTAACTGCAAGTGATCAAGAACATATTCCACAGCTTAAATTTTTTTATCATTGTGTTATTTAAATCAAAATATTTAATTACAATCACATTGATAAAATTAACATTTTAATTTGTAATTTAACCATCATTTAAAGCAATTTCAGCTGTAAAGGAAAAAACCATGCAATAAATTAACATCAAGAAAGCAAAGAGGAATAATAATGAAACTGTCTATACTAACACCATTTCTAACTGTGAAAAGTGCATTTAACACTGAATGAAACAAGCACAGGATGGCAATAATTAAAATGGCCACAATCAACTGGATATTGAAATCTTGGTCCAAAATTTCAATTACACCTCCCTGCAATTTACCTTTCCTCTAACATTGTAATATTCTTTTTCTGGAAAAAAATATTCTTTAAATGGAATAGGTACATAGAAGTTAATTTTATACATGTTAAGTGACCTTAGAATGACATGACCATGGCACTCTGCAAAGCAAGGAGCAGAGTTAATGAAGAGAGTGATTTTTGAAGAATTGCTTCCTAGAACTATACTGAGGAGAAGACAAAGGAGGGTGGGTGTCTTTGTAACGTCTTGGCCAGGCAACCTTAGAAATGTGGCATTTTTACTACTTACCTATTACCTCTCTTTTATGCATACATGAAGGATGCCTACATATTTGAGCATCTGTATAAAGATGATGGACATGATATATATACATACATATGCATATATATGTATATATATATCAGTTTAACCTCTACTCTGAAAGTATCTGAAACATAAGCTGAAAATTAAATGGCTCTGATGTTTTTGTCTATAATCTGTTTATGGTTTGCTGCATAAACAGCAGTATTGCCCTTCAACACTTTTAGCAGTCCCTCGTGTCTACTTGTTTCTTCACCTTTCGATTCAGTAGGGTTAAGAGTATTGCCATACGCAAGACCTGTAAACTTGTGAGGGATCAGGTGAGAAAAAGGGAAAAAAGCACAGACAAATACTTTACAAGCTTGACCATCTTTCTTTCTTTCTTTCTTTCTTTCTTTCTTTCTTTCTTTCTTTCTTTCTTTCTTAAATAAACCCTGCTCAGAATATAATGTGTCTGGAGGGGAAAGAGGGAAGGAAAAGGGAGGGACAAGGAAGTAGGGTTTTATATACACTGTGGAATATTGAACTTTGCAGGGGAAATTTTGGTTGGGGGTTGTTTTTCTTGGTAATAATATACACAAGGCAATTTTGAATACAATAACGAAGTAACAGTCCTTTGCACTGGAGGAAAAGATGTGCACCAAAAAGAGAGAAAGAAAGAAAATGTAAAAAGAAAGCAAAGGAAGGAAAAAGGAAAGAAAAGAAAAAGAAATAAAAATAGCTGGAATTGGGATTGAATTATTTGTTGGCTTGGTGTGTGCGGTTCTGTCGATTTTGTTTTTTGTTTGTTTCTCTTCTGCTACCACGGCCATGCCCGACACCCCCTGCAGCGGGGAGCTATGAAGTGTTTAGAACGGGTCTGGAATACACACCTTGGTAGTAGGCCGGCTCCAGGGCTGAGGGCTCGATGGGGCTCCTGGTGGCCACCGACGCGCTGCCGAGCGGCAGGCTGGCGGGCAACGCGGCGCCGTAGGGCGAGTACTGGAGCGCCTGCTCGTAGGCCTTGAAGTCCAGCTTGTGCTGCTGCTCCGAGGAGGACATGAGGTTGTTGATGGAGAACGGGTGGTTGAAGGAATAGTGGGGATCCCCTTTCAGGTGCAGCTGGGACTCGTGGGGCGCCAGGCCGTGCGCCGGGTGCGAGGGGGGGCACCGACACCAGCGCCCCCGGGCCGGAACTGATCGGGGGTGCTGCCGTGGAGGCGGGCGTCTTCAACTCCGAGGCGCCCCCTGTCGCCGCCGCCCCGCTGTGGTCCAGAGTCTGGGGGCTGGCGGCGGGCCCGGGGGCCGGCGCGCCCTCTAGCTGGCCGGCCTTCCCGTGCACGCTCCGATGCAGGGGCGAGTCGGCACTGGGGTTGGCGCTCGAGGGGTCCTTGCGGCTCTCGGGGCCACCCTTGGCGCCGCCGCCGCCGCCGCCGCCGCCGCCCGCGGCCCCGCTCCCTCCCCCGGCCCCCGGCTGCTTCTCGCACTTGAAGCGCTTCTGGCGCCGCAGGTAGCAGCCGTTCTCGAACATGTTGCCCGAGTCCGGGTGCAGCGTCCAGTAGGAGCCCTTGCCCGGCTTGTCCGGGGAGCGCGCCACCTTGACGAAGCAGTCGTTGAAGGAGAGCGAGTGGCGGATGGAGTTCTGCCAGCGCTGCTGGTTCTGCCGGTAGTAGGGGAAGAGGTCCATGATCCACTGGTAGATCTCGCTCAGCGTCAGCATCTTGCTGGGCGCCTGCTGGATGGCCATGGTGATGAGCGAGATGTACGAGTAGGGCGGCTTGGCGTGCGGGTAGCTGCGCTTGAACGTCTTGGCGTCGCCGCCGCCCCCGGCCCGGCTGCGGCCCAGGTTGGACGGCGCGTACGCCATGGGGCTCATGCACGGGTTCATGGCGGCGGCCGCGTAGGGGCTCAGGCCGTTCATGGAGGCCGCCGGCTGAGCCCCCATGGCGCCCATGCCGCCCGGGCTCAGCGTCGTCCCCATGGCCGTCACGCCCGCCGCCGTCATGCTGTTCATGGCGCCCGCCGAGCCGCCCGGCATGCCCGCCACCGCGCCGGGGCTCAGGCCGGCGCCCAGGCCCGGGTTGGCGTAAGACATGTTGAACGAGGCCGGGGTCATGTTGCCGCTGGTGGTCATGGTGTTCATGGTCATGTAGGTGTTCATGGAGTTCATGGAGCCCAGGCCCGAGTTCATGTTGCTGACGGGGACCGAGGAGTAGGCCTGGAGCGGAGACAGCGGGGAGAGGCCCCGGAGGGCGCGGGATTAGTGGTGGGCGCGCGGGAGGCCGGCCGACCCACCCGGGGGCCTGGCGGGGTCCGCACCGCAGCAGCTCTGCAAAGCCCGGACCACCCCCCACAACCCCACTCCCACCCACCGGGCCAAACCCTCGGGCGCCCTCGCCAGAACGCACTGAGAGACGTGTTGCACCGCGGGGGAGGAAATCCGAGCGCAGCAGGCATGAAAGACAGGCACTCGCAGAAAATATGTCCCCAGGAAGATATGTAATCGCCTTACACGCCTGGCTCCCGAGCCAAATTCGAAGGCCCCTCCACCGCCGCCTCCTCCATCCTCGCCAGGTGGGGTACCAGACTCCACCCAGACAGGCTTTGGCAAAGTGGCCCTTTGCGCAAATCATGTTTAAAACGCCAAAATCGGAGTCGATTTCTCATTTTGGTCCACTCTACCAAATGGACCAAGGGTGGTCTACCATAAGGGTGAAAGGAGTTCCGGAGCATCCCACATCCGCACCGGCCCCCACCCCCATTTCCACATACACACACACAGCCATAGCTGCCTCAGTAGTGCTCCTGACTGTGAATGAAACTAACTCCCTGATAGAGCAAATCAGCAGTGCCTCCAGGACTACTTCCCAACTACTGGCATTACTGTCTTAGCAGTTTCTGTCAAAGGGCGACTTTTTGCTGTTTGTTGCGTTTTGAAGTGTTTTCACCTGCTTGAGGCAAGGGTATAATAATCAAATGGCGAAAATAATAAATTATGGGGGGCTACAAGAAAGGGCTGAGGGGTGCATACAAATCTGAATGCACAGCATACATCTAAAGCAAACTTCCACAGACACTTCTCTAAGCAACTCATAAACTTAGAATAGTACTGTTTGCTACATTATTTCTGACCCTCAAAGTTTGGAAATTTAGTTGACACAACTTGTCAAAACAATTATCAATGGTATAAAGCATCTTCATGCCGCCTGTGTCCTTTCAATGTACTAATAACTATGTGAATACTTTCAAATACTTAGATTTCAAAGTCAAAGAATTCTGTTTTCTCTGAATGTTATTTCACTTCCCAGTTCCTAGTGTTAACCTATATGGAAGCTCTTTCCATGAGGGACTTAACTAATGGATGCAGATGGCTGCATCTGAATCAAACCTCCATTTAAAATAGTACAAGAAAACTCTTATCAACAACAATTTGGGACTGCACTTGATATCAGAAAAATATAGAGTCCTACACCAGGCCCTGGGTTCAATCACCAGCATTTCTGAATGACAGACTCTGTGTGTATGGTGTGTGTGTGTGTGTGTGTGTGTGTGTGTGAGAGAGAGAGAGAGAGAGGGAGAGAGAGAGAGAGAGACAGAGACAGAGACAGAGACAGACAGACAGAGAGACAAACACAGACAACAGAGTGAGAATCTGAGAATCCGAGTCTGGTAATAGAAAAATGACTTCTCTGATAATTTAATTTTAGAAGGATCTCTTTAACAAATATAACTTCATTTGAAAATATAAAAGTTAAACACAGATCTAGGTTAAACACACTGTTATGGTATGCAAATAGCAAAGTTTGCGAATATATAAACATATATATTTAAATAAGTTAATAAACATGAAAGTATTCCCTGATTCTATATTTTTCGGTCCTGAAGGTATCTTAAAGCAGTTTTTACTTTTGGTGTATTTTTCCCCACTTTCCTTGAGATTTTCCAAGGCAGTTATCCTATGGCAAACTCCGGGTGTGTGTGGAGAAATCATTGCCAGTTGTTTCCAGAGAAGTACTTTTAGGTGGTCGACCTGACTGTACCTGGTTCTCCCCGCAATCCCTTTGTGCACAGTGTAAAAATAAACCAAATGAACGTGCCACCATGGGGACAATGAAGAGAAACAGGTTCTCTACCCCGAGTGCCGGGGGGAAAGTCAGCTCCCACCAGCGCCACCCAGCGGCTGTACAGTGGAATGAGCACACTTCGCAAACAGAGCTTTGGAAGTTTAATAAAATTTCGGAATCGTTCCTTTATGGAGACGATGAACTTAATGGCTGCGCGCTTTTATCAGAAGGCATCTGCGAGTTCAACCACCAGTGGAAGAGGCCATCCCAAGAGCGAGCTCTAGCCTCCGCGCAGTTGCTTGCAACTCTTGCCGGCGCCAGCCCGCCAACCTGCGGCGCCCCGGCCCGGCGGGGAAGAGGAAAGTGCTTTCCCGAGCTGGTTCTTTTCAAAGCCTCGAGTTTCCGAAAAATAAAAAAATAAAAAAGAGAAAGGGGGGAGGACCCTTCCTCCCGCTCGGTGCGCCGGGGACCTCATCTCCGCGGCGGGACCGCCAGTTGGACTTCGAGGCGGAACTGGAACCCCCCGAGCGTGCACGGAGGAGGTGGCACGGAGGCGCTCCCCGGGGCCCGCCGGCCGCCCGCTCTGCCTGCCGCCCGCCTCGCCCGGCGTCCCCGGCACGGACCCCTCTCACCTCCTGTGTGTCCGCATAGTAGCTGTTCCAGTCGCTGCTTTCATGCCCTTCCATCTTCACAGCCCCTAACATCCTGGAGCCACCCTGCCCGTTGCAACCATTCAGCCCTGGGCGAAGCGACGGGCGGCCGCGCGGTGGGGGGACCTGGGGCGCGGGCCGGCGCGAGGCGGAGAAGCGGGGGGTGGGGGGGGCGGGGAACCGAACGGCGGCAGTCACCCCAGCCGCCACGCCGGCTCCACGCCACCCGAGCGAGGAGGAAGCCGGGCGCTGCGGGGCGCGGCGTGCGCGGCGGCGACGGCGGCGCGGCGGGCGGGGGCAGGCGGCGGCCGCGGAGCGCGGCGCCCGGGAGCGCCTCCGCGGGAAGTGAGCGGGCGGCCTGTGCGAGCCGAGTGCCGTTGAGCTGATGTGGATCTTACGTCGCCCGAGTGCCCACCTCCTCGTCCTCTCCCCATTTGTCCGCGGCACAAAGACGCTCGCACCTACAAAGCCCGAGGTGCACCTGCGAGGCGGCCGCCCGCCTGTGCCGCTGCCGCGCCTCCCGCCCCGCCGCGCCGCCGCTGCGCGCGCCCCCCTCCCCCGCACCCCTCCCCCACCCGAGCCCTCACTTTGTTTGCCAAGCTGCGTAATTGGTTTAAGACGGGAGGCTGGGGAAAGGGGGTACTGGGGGGAGTGGGTGCAACCCCCTTTAGAAGGGGAAAGAAGGAAAATAGGCGGGGCCGGACTGGCTGGTCAGGGTTCTTGGAAGGGGATCTGCGCAGGCTGAGAAGGGCTGGGGGCGCTAGCTTTGCAGCGGGGCTGGAGGGGCAGTGCGGACTAAGTGACCCCAGAGTCCTCCCCCACGGAGACCATAACCCTCGACAGAACGTGGCTGCGGCCGGGCTCGCTCCCAGCGGGCTCTGGTGCTGCTTCCAGCCCCCACCCTCCTGATTCCTGACCCCAAGTTCAACCCCGAGAGAGATGGGAGAATACGCACTCCCCGCCCCCCTTCCGGGCTCCGGGCTGGAAAGAGGAAAGAACCCCACTTTTTGCCAGGTCACTAGAAACTCGGCCGTCTGAGTCAGCCGTGCCGGGTGACGTTAAGGCTGATCTGGGCTCCTGGCTAGCCGAGTGGAGACGCTGCCATGAAACCCGTACCTGCGGCTAAGGGCAGGTGAGTCACAGCACCGTTTTATATCTTTATGACATAACTTTTTCACCCCCCGGCCTCAATCCCGCTCCACTCCTCTTGTCATCTGGAGCGATCATAAAGCGGAAGAAACGGAGAGCAGATGTCTGTGTGATAGGACAGGCAGCCCGAGTCGGGCCGTCCTCCCCTGCCCAGCTCCTCCTCCTGCCCCCCTTGCGCAGCCTCGGGGACTGAGCTGGAGGCAGGCGACCGTCTGGTTTCTGATAGGGAAAGGTCAGGGGGAGGGGACATCTCCCTAAAAAACGCGCGTGAGTCAGGGTGCGGGCGCGGGCCGGCATCTGCGCCGCGGAAGAGGTGCCAGGCCGCGGGCCGCGGGGGTGGGCGGTGGAAACCGTTTGTCTCCAGCCTGGAAGGGCCAGGCGCTTCCTTGATTCCTAATCAGCCCGCTGGACATTGGCGGGGAGTTATCACTCAAGCAAAGTCTCGTGGCACTTATGAGGTCCTAGGTAGTGGATCTCCCACAGGTCCTAGGGATAAGGACCAGACCAACTCAGAGATAGACTCTGAGTTGGCGATAGGGTGGGACCCTGTTTGTGTGCATTTGGGGTGTGTGTTTCTTAAATGTAGGTGAGTTTCTGAATGTGATCACATGTATTGCTTTTTTTTTTTTTTTGCTTTTGGGTCACACCCTGTGGCACTTAGAGACTTGGAGGCTACTCCCAGCTCTGTGCTAGGGGACCATGTGGTGTTGGGGTTTGAACCCCTAGTCTCCTGCTCAAACCCTTGGGCTGTCTCTTGTCCTGATTGTGTATGACACACGCTGTATCCTGTGTCCTGATTTTCTCTATAGAATCCATGAGATTGTACTAAGTAGCAATAATTTTTTTAAAAATGACCAAGAGTCCAAACACATTTTTGTTTGGCAAAGTTTTTAAAATGTTATTAATCTCATTTTAAGAAATGTGTTTTAACATGTCTTCCAAACATGCCTCTTTCCCCTCTGTGCTTTGTTCTTTTCAATCCTTCTTCCTTGAAATCTGGCAACAGAATCATGTTAAATCCTTGAGCCAAACAAATCACTTAAAATTAGCAGGGGAGCAAGAGAGGGTGAAGATGTTCAGTTAAGGAAATAAAAAAGAAAAAAGCATTGGATTATGATTCTCTCTTGTTTTTGCGACATAAAAAAAAAAGGTGTGCGTCAGACACGTCACTGTGTAAGGAAGGAGTGAGAATGAAATTAAATCCACCTGGAGCCCTGCCTGGGCAGTAGCCCTCCCCAACTTCAGTTTGTCCCTGTGATTGCAAGTCAGATGGCAATGTGTGTGTGTGTGTGTGTGTGCGCGCGCACGCACGCATGTGCACAAATGTGGGGGGTCTGCACATACTTCTCAGGATGATGAACCAGATACTAATTCTTTTGTCCAAAGTTCCATCATCAGCAGGACCCTAATTCCATTTGCAGAGTACACAAATGCTTGGCTGAAGGGGGTTGGGGGTAAGGAACTTTCAGTGCTAATCAGCTTCCTTGTTCCTTCCCGAGTTGATTCTAGACTTGCACTGATGGTGATTGGGGTGTTTTCTATGGGCAGTAACAACTTAGTAATAGCTTTTATGGTGCACAAAAACCCGGTGTTTTAAGGAGGGGTGTGGAGGGCTGGCACATCAAAGGGAGCCAATTAAAACAGCAAATATTCTTCCTAAAGTAAGGCCTCATCCTTAATTTTTTTTTTTTTTGGTAAAAGCCAACTGGGTGGGTGGGAGGAAGTGGTCCTTTGTTTATAGCGGTGGTGAAAAGAGGACTCTGGAAGCTTTGGAGTCTTGGGCCGCCCAGGCAGCTGTTACCTCCTGCACAGGGCCTCCTGTTGTAGGGTGGGAATGCTGAATTTGCGGGCCCCCTAGGGAGCCCCAGCCTGGCTGATCCACAGCCCAAGCACCTCCTGAAGCCAGAGAATTTGGTTCTTGGAGTTGACTGCTGGAGGCCAGCCTCTTTCAGTCTCAGTGGTGGCATTCCCAGCCACCTGACAAACCCAGGAGGAGACCGTCTAGGTTGTCACTCAGGTGCTGGCTAGTTTCCCCAGGGTGTCAAGAGCGAACCATCAAGCTCCTGCTGGGTTTTTGATTCAGAAAACAAACAACAAACTAACAAAGGCACTGTTTTCCGGTTACTGGCCACTAGCTGGGCGGTCAGGTGACAGGCCTGGCTGCTGCCTCCTGTGTTTCCAGCCTCCTCTCCCAACAGGCCCCATATTTGCCCATAGTAAAGGACTTCTCTTTCCAGGGGAACCAGACCTGTTTTAAACATAAGGGGATCTCAGGCGCACTGAAGATGGAGAATCCCCAAGGGGAGTCATGTGGTGGCTCTGGGGGCACCCTGCACTCAACTCAGGGTCACCTTCATTGGGGATGCATATGCAAGAATCTGGAGGCAGAATGAGCAGGTTCCTTGGGCTGGGGGAGCTTGTAGTTGGGTCAGTGGGGTGCGTGGGACCCCTGGTAGAAGAGGAGGGAGATGCCACTCCACCTTTCCTAGCTAGAAGCTTCTCCTAAGCCCTTGGGGGCTACCGCTGAGTAGGGACTGGGAACATGATGTCTGCAGGCCAAACTCACCAGCTCCTCTTCATGTTCTTCATCTTCGTCTTTGATTCTCAGCTCTTTTTTGCACACCTTTGCAGAGCAAAGGGTTGGAGGGTGAGGACAGAGAGAGGAGCTCTGCCGACTGCCTCTGTAGGTACTGGATAGCTTCTCGGTACCCTCAGGGTCCCACCGATGTCTTTTCTCTTAGCTTTTTTCCTTTATTTTCCCCTCTTTTGGCGCTGACACCCTCCTCCAAAGGCGGTAGCCAGCAGCCCGTCTCAGTGGGCAGCATACCAGTTGCAGTGGCCAGCTCTCTGCGGGCCCCCACCTGACCCCCACCCTGCTAAACTGCAATTCCATCTGCGGAGGGAGATTCGATTTGGACGAGACAAAGTCTAAGGGCTGTGGCTTTTCACATGGCTTAACGGAGACCCTGGAAGGAACCCGGTCAGTTCAGGACAGAAGTCTTTCGGGGACCAGGCTGTGCCCTCCAGCGCGTGCCCGACCGAGGTGCGTGCGGGCTTTGGAGCGGGAATCCCCGCGGCTGCCTTTAGCGTCCCAGAGGCGGTGCTGGAGCTGCGGTGACCCCTGGGGGCCCACCGCTGGCCTAACCCTCGGGGTTTCAGAGGCCGGGGAAAGAGACCTTTCTCTGTGTTGCAGCTCTTTCAACCCATTTTACTAGCCTTATTCCTGTTTCCACGGCCCTTAACTTCTACCATCAAGTCATTCGTTGAGAAATCAGTTCCCAAGTCCGAAGGCGCCCAGCGTGCGCTAGGGAGGGGCATGTGGGGCCACCTCACGGGCCTGGTCCCGCACTTGCTTTGGTGCAGAGGAGTCGGAGGCTCGCGGCCGCGCCCCAGGCCGGTATTTGTGCGTGCATCAACACACACACGTCCGGGGGCTGTTACTTTCCAGAAAGGATTTTTCTCATTTGAGTACACTAACGTTTATTCATGGATTTTTTCTCATTTGAATACCTGTAACGTTTTAATCCCGGTCCTTTATTCCGGGCCCTGGAGTTGCCCCTGCCCCTGCCGCTAGAGCCGACGCCGGCTTTCTGCCGGGCCCAGCTCGCTCGCAGCCGGATGTCGGAGCCGGAGCTACTCCCCACCCGGCCTCGCCCGCGGGCGACAAAACTGTTCCTCTGGCCGCCAGCGAGGCTCGACGAGCCAAAATCAACTCGCATTTTCATGTATTCAAATGAGAAGGATTGGGAAAGGAGCCGTGCCTTTCTGGGCCTTCGCAAGCCCGGGAGGGAAGGAGTTAGTGTCCCGCGGACTCTCATAAAATGAGATCGGGCCTCGCTTCAAGGCTAGTTAGTGGACAGGATGTCCCTTCCCAGGCCTGGGCACCCCAAACCTACAGACACCTGCTGGGCATCCCTAACAGGCAATTCGTCTTCGCCAAATTAGGACTGGTCATTCTACACAGTTGGTCCCAGAAAGTCTTTCCTCACCCCACCTGCAGGCCCACTGGAGGGCCAGCTCTTCTCCTGGTGCTCCCAGTTCCTCTGGCTACTGGAATTGAACTCCTAGGAGGTCCTGAAAATGCATAGGACTGGGACAAATTCCAGGTCTGAGACGAAAAAGAAATTAGAGTATGGGGCCCTCGTGTGTGCCCT